TCCTGCTTGCTACACATGGGCCAATATAAAAAATATGCACGTAACTATGTCTATTTTGAAATGTTTTACCTAAACTTACTCTAAATTCAAAAATAAAAAAGGTCGGGGTAATCAACTAAATAATCCAGATCCGGAGAAATACCCAGGAACATTCGAGGCACTTCTTATCGTGTCGACAACAAACCTACACAGTGTCAGTGTCAGCCTAAAACTCAGCTAAGAGAACCCTAGACCACTCCTTCGGGACAATAAATGGGGCAGTGCTGAGAACATGTCAACCCTTCACAGTTCACATGAATGGTGATAGAGATAGATGATAAGCGATAGCGTACGCAGAAGGATATGATCTTGTGATAACATCTGTTACCTAATCACCTACTTTTAGCATTTTAGTCACACGTGATAAAATTAGGCATACATTTTAATGATGATACGATATAATATATAACATTGCATTTTTATCAATGGCGTTGTTACTACCTGCCTGGGTATCGTACTTACTTACTTGATGAGTAGCAAGTGGAAACCTATTAATTAACTATGCAGCGAGATCACAACAGCACGTACTTATTTGTTAGTTCGAGATTTGAACTAAAAAACGCGCACTGTTGTTCCAAAAACTCGACAATTATCAACACTCCTCGGTCCCCCCTACCGTGCCCCTACTTATTATACATGCTAAATAATGTACCTACCAGCTGACGGATGCTGACCAAGTAACACTTTGTGTCATCAGCTTGTGATAGACGGTGGTTACATAAATCCTGGCAGGCGGACTCTACGATAATAACGTGCAAGGTCGCTGTCAAGGCGCCGTCATTGTCGTCATGAACTACTGACTAGTACTGCTAGTACTACTTACCTACTACGATTAGGTACTATGTATTGACGATGACTTTTTATTGACGATGTTTCTCGCGCTGCTTCTTCTCAGCAGGCCCATTTATTGTCCCGAAACACAGGTAGGGGTTTTATTAATCTAAGAGGTAGGGTTAAAGTAAAATATTTTTCCTAATAAGGAACAGCAAACAGAACTCGTTGAGAACAAGCGAAATTAAGGAAGGAATCATTTTCTTTGATCACGGACAGATACCTAGCTTAATTAGCTTAAAGGTTCAGTCAAACCAACGCGATCAGCCGGCGTGCAGCGATGGCGATCAGACATAAATGCATTGGATCGCCATCGCTGCACGCCGGCTGATGGCGTGTGATCGCGTTGGTTTGCTAGCCAACTAATGAGGGTTTTTCGCGATTGAAAAATCCGCCAGATGGCAATACGTAGACGCGAGGTCCAAATGCGGGCGGATTTTCCAATCGCGAAAACCCTCATTAGATCCTACGCGTTGAGCATTCCAGTGAAAGGCTAAAGCATTTAGAAGGAAAGTCGTTGAAAAGAGTAAAATCGATAAAACATGCTTTAGCCTTCCAGGATTACCCCCTCTTGGCATGCCATACATAAATAACAACTACCGCAAGTGATCAAGTGAATTATCTGCTAACATTGCTGCTAACTTCATAGGTACGTAGTTCGGTGTCCCTGGCCCACGGTCGATCAATATGCCGCACTGAAAGTTGCATGGGCACTGAAGTGACGCAATCGTTGTCATGTTTTACTGAGACAATTCACTTGCCAAGTCAATGGGTCTAGACGAGCTCGTGGCCCAAATGAAACCTGGAAAAATAAAAGAAAACCTGGAAAATGTAATTGTTAAGTCAACATGTTTTATCCTTTTGATTTTCTATTATTGTTTCTAACGAAATCACCCTTTTGCCTACTCGAATCATCACCAAAATTTTGGTCTGAGTTTTCTTACCTATGATTTATTTATAGACTGCTATTGTTCCTACAAAAGAATAGGTAGGTATAGCATCGGTACATTTACACAGACGGTAAGTAGGTACATTTGTAGACTGAATTTTGTATAAGGTAAATATTTTTTATGCACGAGTGCAGGATAAAGGTACTCGTTTCATATACCTACTACATAATAAAGGGTCTACAAGATATCTCCTGGTAGGTACCTATCTATTGTCCTTTTATAGTGGTTATAAACAGATGCTCCAAGGATCACTCAACATTTCCTCCTAGAGTCACCTCCAAACTTAATAATTCGAGCGTTGAACTCTAGAGTCTAGATCTAGACATAATGCCGCTAGCTAGACTCCCCTTTGGCACAGCCTTTGGGCAAGCTATCCCTGCTCAATAGTAGGGGGAAGCTGTTACGACATCCTGACCTCTTTAAAGAAGCGCAGGCGCGGACCTAACGTTTCCCGTTCGATCACTCCCAATCCCAATCCATTTTACGTAACTTACCTTCTCCACGTTATATAACATTTTAAAATTAAATATCGGTTGACCTGTACCGCGCGACCTTGGACCACATATGATCACCACAGCGTAGAATAGTTGGCTGCGCGCCAACCCGCTGCGCGTGCGACTATGGCCAGCATTTGACCGGCGGCCTTATGTAACCTAAATATATCACGTGACTATTTTAAGCTGTACTTGACGACGGCCAATGGCAGAGATGACAGCGCGTTGAAAGGACGATGCTTTTCTCTGCTTTTACTTGGTAGATGTGTAGATAGAATACCTACAGCTCAGCTATCTGCTGCTAGAGCTCAGAATATTAAGCGTATCTTAGGAAGAAATAAGTATGCAGACAAAAAGACCACCTGTCATCCGCTTTGCACTGGAGGGAAGTCGAACCCTAACTTCGAACTCCTATGTTCGTTCGTTTCAGCTGAATGACGTCCACTGTTGGATAAAGGCCTCCCCCAAGGATTTCCACAAAGACCGGTCCTGCGCCGCCTGCATCCAGACATCTTCCGCGACCTTCACCAGATCGTCGGTCCATTAGTGGGAGGCCTGCCCACACTACGTATGCCGACCCCCTATGTTCTTCTGATTAATTTCGTTGCGGGTACAATGACAGTTTAACTTTCCCCCTAGAAACACTTGGCCTTCACTGGTTTTGTTTTTATTGACGGTCAAGCTGAAGATCCTGGCTGCACAGGAGTTGCAGCGGTGGGAACGAGAGGTGGGAATACTCCCGTGACAAAACGACCACATGATGCTGATTCTTGAGATTCTTCTTGATGGTCTGGTATAAAACAGGACCTGCCCACACTACGTCTTCCGGCCCGTAGTCGCCACTCGAGAACTTTTCTGCACAACGCTTTTTTTCTAGAAAGGGGAAAAGAAATTACCTTACTAAGAACTAATTACACATACTCACAAGCATCAAACAATACAGTTATGGCTATGACATTAGATAACTGCTGCGGCAATCATGTCCTTGCGACTAGATTTAGTCTGGAGTTGATAACTTGATAACGCACTGATAACGACTAACGTTTTGTTATCTCATTTAACGTTAATCACTTAACTGACTTAACTTTCGGTCATTCTTCACGGTTAAAGATTGTGCAATTTGTTTTTTATGACTTTACTTACACCTCTGTGTGGTGTACAAAATTCTTAAATTCTATATGTTGGACGTTGTCGTAAATAATGACATGTTTGACCAAATCTTTCAAAGTATGGCAACACTGGAAAATGTTGTTTTTCCAAACGATACTCCTTAGCAAACTACGTAATCGCTCTATACAACTCGAGTTTCCCAAATGTTGCCAACTGCCCAAAAAATGCATTTGAAAAATCAGAAATCTGAAACTTTTTACAAAATGACCGCTCACTCGGTCGCCATCTTGATTTTCTGAATTTTCGGATTTTTCCCATAATCTGGGTCGTATAACCGACCAAACCCCATTTTTGGATTTTTTCTGCCATATCTCCTTCTGTCCGTCCTTAACTTTAAAGACACCCATGTCGAAAAAAAATACTTTTCCCCATAGCTGCAAGTGTTGCCAGGTGATCGAGATGAAAATGGTCAAATGTCATTTGTACGACCCTTTTGCAGGAGGCGTCATCCAAATTTTTGACCGGAAGTCGTTATTTCCACTTTCGACATTTTTGGACCAAATCTCCGAAAGCATGGCAACACTGGAGAAATTTCTTCACCCAAGCGACACCTCTTGACAAGACACACAAACGCCTCATACAACTCGTCTTTCCCAAATGTTGCCAACTACTCGAAAAATGTCACCTTTCAGTTTTAATTTCACTTTACAAAATTCGACAACCGTCATTCAGGACTGATTTTTCGCAGGCAACCCTATACCACCGTGTTCATAATGAAATAATCTTTATTTTCATTTATATTTGATTAAATTATCAGACCGATGCAAAATGCTCTATCAATTTACCTATTTATACCTGGCAACCCGAGAGTTATGACTGGAAAAGAATAGGCAACCTAACGTTTGCATATTCTATGGGCTTCATACTTTCGATTGGTATGGAGTTTGTTTAATAATCAAACCGATGAAATATTTAAAAATAAAACTTTTTTTAATGATTAATTAATCATATCCTGGACTGAAATTTATTAGGCAACCCTTAAGCAATATAATTATTGACATGTTAAATTGAATATAAAATATGTTTCATCAAATAAGCATCTCGGTGAAGGTCGTTGTATAGCGGGATCTTATACTATAGGTAGGTATTCAATCCACTGAATTCCACTGACACTTTTTCAATTTCAATGTCAGTTATATTTATTTGTAGTCATCTTGTACTATAATCGTACTAAAAGTACCTCCTACATTCTTCGAAAGTGGTTCTTATGATTGACAATTTCGTTCAATAAAACAATATTTCTTTTAAGACAATAATATAAAAGCAGCAAAACTTAGAAAGCTCTTGTTACATGAATTAGTAGGATATTTAATAAAACATCTTTGTCAACTCACATAAATTTATTGAAATAAAATATTTATCTACAATTATTATTATTTAATACATTTTTACATACAATTTTCATTACAGCAACAACATGGAATGATAACCGCTTACAAAGTTTTTTTAAACATCAAAGCATAAAATCAAAGTTAATGCCAATGTAGGTACTTTTTAAACATACATATTTTCGTTATTTTATTAACTTCCAGAGGATTGTGACATTATACAGATATTAATAGTACTCAAACATAGATAAAAACTTGAGTGTACATTCACGCTTTTGATTAAAGCCCGGTCTCTGAGTACGTAGAATTCCAATTCCACTTACGTAGAAGACCAGACTATAGTTAAGTTAAAATTACAAGTTTGAAACTTTGAATATATTGCCCAGAAGGAAGGTTATTGTGTATTCTTATCTTGATACGGATCTCTTGTTATTCTTACATACAATTGGTAGGAGAATAAGCAATAAATTACTTATGGTATTGAAGACTGTTTCTTCATTCGATTTAACCTTGGGTTTTGTTGAAGTCGTTTCCCTGTAACAAATGAAAAAGCATGTTAAAATAATAAAAACTTATCGCTGTGATGTTAACGGGCCATAGATAAATTACGTCACACGAATTTCATGATTTTGGAACCACGTCATTGTCACAGCTGGTCACATTTGTGATCATCATCATCATCATTTCAGCCATGAGGCCCACTGCTGAACGTAGGCCTCCCCCAATGATTTGCATGTTGGTCCAAACACAAACGCCGGACTCGGTGCTTAATTTGGTTGCAATTAGCATCATAGCTCATGAGTGAGCACTACTGAGTGAGGACATAGCAGAAGGCGCTGGATTCAGGCCGCTACCAACCGGTCAACATGGAAATACAAATCGAAGAGGAAATATTTTTGGCGTACAAAATGTCTACAATTCACCGTGCTCCCTTTCCACTCCAAACTGCCATAAAAGTGTATAACTAACATTGTCGGTTCAATTCGAGCGCGAGCCAAATAGCTTCCATACACAGACCACTTGGCCTTATAGAAAGTAGCATTAAGTCAGAAAAGTCATTTATTTTCTGCAAATAGGCTTTTTATGTGTTCCAGTAATGCTACCTCTGCTTCGGGAAAATAAATTGCGCAGAGAAGAAGCAGCGCAAGAAACTCAGACACCTTTATTAACTTAATGATTCAGTTATTTTTACACTTTCATCCGGGTCCAGACGGGTTTAACGCGTAATGTAATGTATCGTGTAATGGAAATAGTATGGGCAGCAAGTTACATGTAAATCCACAGGTTACCCGTAATCTTACATTACACCCGTCTGGACTCGGCTTTCTGAGTTTATAGCAATGATGGGGAAACACAGTCTAGTGTAGTGGATGTTTTTTCATAGAGGTAGAGCAGTCTTTCCCAAAGTGGGCGATAACGCCCCCTTGTGGGCGCTGCAGGCTTAAAAGGGGGCGGTAAGAGACCCAGAATAAAAATCGGGACGTTGTGTAGAGGCTTGGGAGGCGTCATCTACTAGGAGGACTCTTAGACATCGACTGAGCTCGACTCTTGACTACAAAAATGGGAGGCGCTAAAAAGTAATTTATTCTCAAAGTGGGCAGTAGACTAAATAAGTTTGGGAACCACTGAGGTAGAGGATATAATGGATCGTAACCACGCATGACAGGAACACATTGTCATCATCAGGTCATTTGGTTTGTACTGCAGAAACACGACTTCAATTTACAAGAGACAAACGGAGGGCTTGGCCTACACTCCCCACACTGGCTAGACGAGTTGGGGTCATTGGGGAGGTCTGATTTTTCCCATAATCGCCTTTTACAACATCCACGGGAAGAGTGGGGATTGACCCATTTTAGGCCTGGTCCTTTGATGAACAAAGCGGAGTGGAGATGTGGAAATAACGAACTTCATTGGTTTTTTAAAACACATCTCTTCTCCCCCCTATTTCGGTGGAAACCGAGCCTAACAGGGAGTTCGTTACTCGGGAACCGTAACTTCAGTATTTTAGACAATTTTAGTATGTGAGTATTTGGCATCTGTTTCGGTAAGTGGTCTGTGTGCATACGCAAAAAAAGTGCATCACGCATTCACGTGTCATATTTCACGTGTGACTGCCACTCGTGTTGGCAGAGTGCACTGCATGATCTTTGAATGCGGATTGCAGTCGCGTACGAATTGAATTCTTTGCATTTTCTGTTAATCAAGGTATTTCTTGGCTACAGTTCGAATTCGAACTCATCATTGGTCTTCAGTGTGCTTAGTGCTAGTTTGCATTGAACGTTGTCGCTTGCGAGTGCGTCAAATAAATCTATGAAGAAAGACTAATGCCCGTTTTCACCATCAATCCCTTATTTTTAAGTGACCCCATAGAAAACAAAATGTCTGTTATAGTTATGTTACCACATAGGGGTCACTTAAAAATTAATTCAGTTGTTGGTCCAATGACAGTTTAACTATCACAACAAACTTGGACTTCATTGGTTGGGTTATTGGCGGTCAAGCTGTAGATACTGACTACATAGGAGTTGCAGCGGTGGGAATACGAGTCGTCCCGTTGGCTACAGTTGGTTAACGGGACTATTCCCACCGCTGCAACTCCTGTGTAGCCAGGATCTACAGCTTGACCGCCACTAAAAACCCAACCAGTGAAGGCCAAGTTTGTCCCGGGAGTGTTACATTGGACCCGCAAGGAAATTAATCAGAAGAACATAGAAAGAGTTCGAAGTTAAGGTTAGTAAGAACCTGTCACTTCATTGACGAAGTAACTACATTCAAAAACCAACCAAGATAAATGTGAATTATTATTTCACGTATTGTCTGCTCGGATTCTCCCAAGAAATGCTACGTTTTTTCACTTTCATTAGCATACACACTGAAGGTTAGCACACACATTACAACTTACGCGAACGTGACAGTATTGTCGTTTTTGGATGACGTATGCGCAGGTAAATACCTACATCAATTGATACAAAATACTTTTTACGAGATTTTTAGAATAATTTGTCTAACAAAACAAGGTATTTTTTGTGAGCTCCAACAGGCGTAAACCAAGCGTAAGTATAATGCCGAATAGGCGATGTAGGTAGTAGCACCCAGGGTTCCTGGATACACGTCTTTGGGTTTAGAGATGGGTTATACTAGGTAAATTTGATACTAGGTGCACCTATTCCAAGTATTTATTAATACTCGATCCAAATACCTGTTCCACCTAGTACGTAGTAATTTAGCATACTTGACGCGACTAGTGCGGACTAATCCAAGTAATATGACTTTAAAATACAATTTTCTTTGAAAAGATACAACCGTAGTATGAATAATGCAATTTGAAATTGAATAATAATATAATTCCTCCCTTCATACTTCAACAGGCTTTGGACTGTCAACTTAAAAGTTGGCGTATTTAAAAGATATCAATTTCATAAAAATATTTACATACTTTTTTCTTATTTACATGAATATGGTTTGACTACGTTTGTGTGCGTTTGCTTCGTCGCGCTCAAATTTGTTTGGTTAGACAGAGACGGAGTGAATCTCTACGTTCGCACATAAGCTTAGCGAGAAATACTAGGTGCGCGTAATACACGACTACGGATTACGCAATAATAACCTCTATTACTTTCAGGGTAGGGTCGGAAATCGTGTAATTTATAAAATACTAGGTGGATCAAGTATTTTTTTAAATGGAATAGGTGCCGCCTAGTACTGTAAAATACCTAGTGTGTGGATCTGTTCTAGTAAATACGTCTCATCTCTATTTGGGTTTTGTTGTCAACTTTTTGTTCACTTTGGGTATCATGAACTATTTGTTGCTGACTGTACTTTTAAAAAGCACTATTAGACTAGGCGTAGACCATCGATTTTTAGTTGGCCGATAGTTGTGCCCAATTTTAAATTGTATGAAGAATCGATCAAATCAAATGGTGTAATGTGCGCACTTCCATACATGCCCTTACTGATCAACTGCCCGACTAAACTATCGGCCGACGAAAAATCAACGGTCTATTGCGCCTAGGCTTACACGTCCCAGTACCCTCCCACTGCAGTACAATAAATGGGCCAGTGCTGAGAAGAAGCAGCGCAAGAAACTCAGTCACTATTGTATATTATCACTAACAATAACAATTCCACCTGAATAGAAGTTTGATCGAATCGCGAGCGCCACAATAACATTCGTTCATTTGTTGAACGACGGCTGACTAGTTCCGAGGCCGGCATTCATTGGCGACCGTCCGCCGATATATTTAGAGTAAGTAGAACTCAAGGATCAAGGGTAGGAGAGGTTCACGCAACAGCTACCAGAAAACAAAAACACATCACAAGATGCTCTATGTATTTAACTACTAGCTTTCCGGCCGCGGCTTCGCCCGCGTAGAATTTTGTCTGTCACAGAAAAATATTATCGCGTGCGTCTCTGTTTCAAAAACCGGGATAAAAACTATCCTATGTCCTTTCCCGGGACTTAAACTATCTCTATGCCTTTCATCAAAATAGCTTCAGTGGTTTAGGCGTGAAAGCGTGACAGACAGACAGACAGAGTTACTTTCGCATTTATAATATTAGTATAGATAGATGGTTGTCCAACAATGACTGTCCCAGCTGTGACATTGACAGGAGGGCGTTTAAACTCGTTTATATTAGTTCCCAATTTCGTTCCTTTCAGCCAAATGACTAATCTAAAACAAGGACAAAGGCCTCCCCCAAGGTTTTCCACAATTAACGGTCCAGCGCTGCCCGCATCCGGGCTCTTCCCGCGACCGTTCCTAATTTCGCCACGTTGGAAAACACTGAAATGACATTTACAGGAGGACGCTACTATCAATACATAATAGTTCCGTTTTGCCAGTTGACGTTTCAGAATCGTTCAACTATAGTGATGGCAGAATAAAATTGATGCCATCATATTTTGAACTTCAGCGAGATATGAGAAAAATCTTTTCTACTATTTCTTCTCCTAGTTAAGGGGTTAAATTGGTTTTCTAAAAGAGACTAATGCCTGTTTTCACTATCAGTCCCTAATTTTTAAGTGGGGTCTATGGTAACCCTAACAGGAATTTTGTTTTCATAGGGGTCAATTAAAAATTAGGGATTGATGGTGAAAACGGGCATTAATTCCAAACCCGTGTCTCACCTTTGTTTCAGGGGACTGTCAAGAATATGGTATTGTTTGATAAGAAGAAATCTATCTCCGCCTAAGTAGTAGCCCTATCTTTTAACTCAGCCAGTGCCTGAGGTATGGACGCGGCACGGGAGTAGAGTTTTCCCAGGCGTCCGGGTAAAGCCGGACATAGTTAGGCTTTTTGATTGCGTGTCCGGCCAAAATATTTGGCTGCCGCGCCAGGTGAAAGTCGAGCCACAGAATAAGGCACTAATTGCCCCCCCCCCCCCCCCCGTCGCATGTCCGGCTTTTAGGTTAAAATGTCCGGCCAAATGAAGCACATAGTCCGGCTTTTGTGTTTTTGGACCTGGCAACCCTACACGGGAGGGTGTTTTTTTTAGACTGAATGAGTAAGCAGTGTCACCCAGTCCCAAAGCAACTGGTAACTAGTTTTAAGCGGCTTCATCCAGGAAGGAAGATCCTGTGTCCTGATCAGGTCGTAAATTCAGTCAGTAATTAAACGGGAATATTCCCACCTCTCGTTCCCACCGCTGCAACTCCTGTGTAGTCAGGATCTACTGCCCGTGCCGCTCCTATATCTCAAGCACTGACTTACTAAACCAATGGTTCTTAACCGGTGGTCCGCGGACCACTGGTGGTCCCTGGAGGCATTCCAAGTGGTCCACGAAGTGCACTTGCACACCTTGGTCAAAACCAATTTTAACTGATTTTTGCAGTCAAACTTGTTTTGACCGATTGAGGTGGTCCCTGACAAGACAGAAATTTGGTAAAATGGTCCCTCATGACTTAAAGGTTAAGAACCACTGTACTAAACTAACTAGTGAAGGCCGCGGAAAGAACCTGGATGCGGGCAGTGCAGGACCGGCCAAGGAAATCCTTGGGAGTGAGATCTTTGTTCAGCAATAGTTCAAACAAATGACTGTCAACTTCGAAAACAAAAACAAATCTTGACTAAACGACAATGCACTACCAACTGCATGTTTATTTAGGTATTTTACCCCAGATAAATAGAAATACGCGCAATAAAACCTCTTTACTATGCGCCCGCGCACGCAGTAGTCGCGGGAACGATAAAACGGCAAGTTTATTTCTGGCGGTCAATGTCAATCGAGTTACGTTGCACGTACAGTCAGCATCAAATAAATCGTGACACCCAAAGTACTATCCGTTCGCGATAAGTTTGCCGCTGGCGATATGACGTCACTCGAAAGGAAGCGTCTATAACTATAGCAAACTATATTGAAAATATTTTTTATTTATTAATATTGATAAAAAATGTGTATTTCAGTAAAATAAGACACATTGATTGCGTTTAATCACTAACTAATTGCGTTTAATCGCGGTTGGGGGAGGGGACGCGCATTCCACGGACCAGTAGCCAAAAAGTTCCCAACACGTCTTTGTTACAACAAGCTAGTTTCCTAAAAAAACTAGTCCGTTTGTATTATCAAAAAAAAAAAAAATTACACGTGTATTTTTATTTGTCAATCAAACAAGTCTAGTATGTAATTACGAAGTTATGGTGAGTTGAAGTTCTACATGACGTCACAAGGTGCTACAATTTTAACCACGCCTGGACGTCACTCTTCCTTTGAACTTTATCTTTATCTAACACAATTTTCATTAGTATGGAAACGAAACTAAATTAACTGACGGATTAATTCAAACCCTTGCGTTTTTACTCAGGAAACATCCCTCACTACATCTTTTTGCCCACTTTGGGTGTCACGAACTATTTGAACCTGACTGTACTACAACTAGCACCTAGTTGATGACTGTGGCCTCTACATAGTCATAATAGATGCCATTATGTAACAAAAATAAACATACAGTCTGATATAGTACTATTCCCACCTCTCGTCCCCACCGCTGCAACTCCTGTGTAGCCAGGATCTACAGCTTGACCGCAAATAAAAACCCATCCAGTGAAGGCCAAGTTTGTCGAGGGGGAAAGTTAAACCAGAGTAAATACAAATGAGTATTTGTTGAAATTAGTTTTTGTCAGTGTGTGCGTGCGCGCCGCATACGTATTGGCGCGCTCACATACAAACCGCGCTCGGTGCGTTTCTATGAAGATGACCTACTCATTTGTATTTACTCTGGTTAAACTGTCTGATAATATTATGCAGTCGACTGTACTAGCCTTCGCGTGACTAGACGTGTGTAATTGTGTACGAGTTTATGACGTGTGAAGTGTCCATTTTTAACATAAGACTTTGTATTCGCAAGCTGCTTGTTTTCTGAATAAAACAAAATAAATAAAAACGGGGAGATTCTTCTTAAATAGTACCGTGTAAACCGTGTTGTGTCCTGTAGTACATAGTTTGGAACTGGACAATGCAGTACATTAGTATTATTATTTAAACATTTCATTATCATCATCATCTCAGCCATAGGACGTCCACTGCTGAACAAAGGCCTCCCCCAATGCTTTCCACGTTGATCGATTGGTAGCGGCCTGCGTCCAGCGCTTCCCTGCTACCTTTACGATGTCGTCGGTCCACCTTGTAGGTGGACTTCCCACGCTGCGTTTTCCGGTACGCGGCCTCCATTCCAGAACCTTGCTGCCCCATCGGCCGTCAGTTCTGCGTACTATGTGCCCTGCCCATTGCCACTTCAGCTTGCTAATCCGTCGGGCTATGTCGGCATTAGTATTTATTATTATCTGGGGGCACGGCAGTGCCCCAAGTCGAGCAAAAAAGCGGCACGGCCGTACCATCCTTTTCTCGAAGCAATTCAGGCCATTTTCGACCGCCTGTAACTTCATTGTGGATAAAACTAGAAGGCTGAATTTTATTTTCATTAGCAATGCAGGCATTGTAAAGACACGGTATATTTCAAATTTCATTCAATTTGAACCAGTAGTTTAAGAATTATAACGGGTCAAAGTTTCTTAATTTTGTCACTCACTGACTGACTCACCGATCATCAAAATTCTAAGGCACTTCTAGCAGACCTAGAAGCTTCAAATTTGGAATATAAGTAGTGTTTGGTGTATGAATCAAGAAAAAACTAAAATATTTGGGGGCACGGTAGTGCAACCGCCAAGTCGAGTAAAATTTTTCAATTTCGGTCCAGTTTTCTAGATACATAACTGCTGTCTACAAAATACAAAAAGAAATGAGATTGCATGAAAACACGTGTAAATTAAATTATTTAGTGCGATGGCCAAGTCAATAATTTATGTAAAACGTTAAAGATTTCCTGGCCTGGACTTAGTATTACATAAATCTCACAACTTTTTACCGTAGAACAACTGAGTTGCGAGACTTGGTTTTTTTGACAAGTATTGTTTTTGATGGGTTTAAACATTTCATTATACCTACTGAGAATAAAAGTGCAACACTACTCACAGATGACAAATGCGCGTGCGGCTTGCTCACGTGACAGATAAAATTAATTTATTGATTGCCAGTGCGTGTGCATATATTTGACGGACAGTACGAGATAAGATCTGTCGCTGCCGGTAGATGGATCTACCAGAAATGTCTCGCAAAAGTTTCTTTAATTTTTTTTAACTTATTAAATTAAAGTTTTACATGAAAATAGACACTACAAATAGGCTAGTTTCCTAAAAAAATTTTTTTTAGTCCGTCAATTTTAATATAAAAAAAGATTGGACACGTACTATATTTTGAATTGTCAATCAAACAAATAATATTACAAAGTTATAGTGCGTTGAAGTTCCGCGCAACGTCAAAAAGTGCTGCACTTTTACGCACTCACTGACGTCACGGGCCTTTTCTTTAGAACTTGGGCACGCTTTATCTCTTTACATTTTCATTAGTTTTAAAAAGTGAAAAATACGTGTCTAGTAGTTTTTGATAGGCTAACTGACGGACTAATTAAAACTCTTGCTTTTTTACCCAGGAAACATCCTTGATCTTGAGACTGAAGTAATACAGTTGCTGATTTTTCATTGAGAGAGCATAATTTATTAAGTAGGGTATAATTACAAAGACATTATAAATCAAAAAAAGTTTAAAGGACTATAAATATTAATTTTCAATCATGCCTAGTTTAAATTTTTGCAAAGCTATCGCAATACATAGTTAACAAAGCCACAGTGTTTTAGGTCCCACTTCTGTGTACTAAATTAATTAGGTAATTACTGTAACAATAGTAAATGTGTGTGTGTAAATAAATAAATAAAAATTGAATCCATTGATTGTTCATTCATTATACAATGTTGATTGCCCCTTGTAGTGTGTTTTGTAGTCAGCATGTTAAGACTCTTCCAGTTACATTAAAACATTTTAAGAATAACAAAGTACAGCTTTGTCAAAACTTTTAGGTCTGAGGTTTTCTAGGAAACTAACATTGCCTTTGAAAACGTAGCAGCAAGGTTCTGGAGTGAAGGCCACGCATCGAAAAACGCAGCGTTGAGGCGTCCATCCACAAGGTGGTCCGACGACCTCATAAATGTAGCAGGAAGACCGGCAGGATGCACTTGTAACATGTGTTGTACATTCAGATTCTTAAAAGGGGCTAAATCGCCGGTCACCAATGGTAGAAGTAACATTGTGTTGACTATTAGACTTATGATGAGTCTGAGGAATTTGATTTGAATAAATAATTGAAGAAAAAATACCCCCCCGCCACACACACATACACAACACATCTACACTTTTACACACACACCCTACATCCATCCGTAATGCCTTTTCATCTTTTGTGTACTTTTCATATTTTGATTTATTGCTTTTAGCTTAGCCGTACCAATTCTACCTGTAAATCATTATTCTTTCCTCCACCTCCACAGGACAGGCTTTGCCTAGTGTGGAGGTATGTCTTTTAGTTATTGTATTATGTATTTGATTTTGGCAATAAATATTTTCATTTTCATTCATTTAATTTTCATTTTCAGTGACATCAAATTTTGTAAAATATTAGTTTTTTTTCAGAGCTCGGCCTCTTGCGCCCGTGGCATTTTGCTTGCCCTGCCACCTTGTATAGTCCGGACGCCGAGCACATAGAATTTCTTGACCCCAAGCTACCCATCCTTATCGCTCGCGCGTAATTAAATTGCTGTCGCGACTGTGCGACGGGCGGCCGCAGTGAGTGTGCGAGCGCGACAGCAACATAATTACGCGCGAGCGATAAGAATGGGTAGCTTGGGGTCATTGGACGAAATTCTACATGCTCGGCGACCGGGCTTTAGATACCCAACTGGTTTTAACATAGCAATACCTACGTATTGAACTTACCCAAGTTTGCGACATCCAGATTAACGTCTCGTTCTTGAGTCTGGGCCCGATGAGCGGATTCATCTGCGCCATGTACGCACACAGCCAGCTGAAACGGACAAATTCAATGTTTTAGCACAGAATAATAATAAGTACTACATTTTCGTAATAATCTTTCTAATGAGGGCTATCGTTTTTATACTTAACAGTTGGCACCCCTGGCGATTGATAGGACCTTACTCTACAGTGGCGCCATCTCGATGAGTGCAAATGCGATAGTTCTCCTACCACTTTAACACTCACCAGTTGGTGCCACTGTCTTCGCTACTAGCAAGTGACAGGACCTTACTCTACAGTGGCGCAAACTGGTGAGCGCTAAAACGATAGCCCTCATTGTGCCTCTACACAGGTCCTCCCTAAGGTCCAAGAGGGATTTTAAGTTTTATAGTATTGGNATATTCAACATATAGGAATTATTTATTTACTTTTTAGCAATAAAACACTAGGGTTCTATAGATATCAAAAATATAATCAAAGACAAGAGATACAAGACAAGAAAATAGAAAAGAGTAAAATAATACAAATAAGGATGCTTTCTGCACACTAACATTTGAATTGAAGAGTTTTTTTTTATCCACAACGAGGAAGCTCTTGACCCGCATCTCACCTGATGGTAAGTGATGATCAGGCCGAAGGCCGAAGCGAGCTTCACCCAGAATCCTCAACCACGGAGGAACTGGCTATCTTTGCCTCTAACTGCCAGAACACAACAATGCTGTTAACATTGTTGTTATGGCGACAGACTTAGGTAAGATTGTCGTAGCTAGCCAGGCAGACTTGGAACAAGCCCTACCATCAACCAAACCAAACAGAAAATTCTGCCCCCACTAGGAATCGAACCCGGGACCTCTGCGTCTGCAGCAGGTGGTCTTACCACTAAACCACAGAGGTGGTTAAAGAGTTTCATATCTTTGTTTGCTTAAACATGATAATCTCTGGAACTACAGGTCCGATTTGAAAATGTATTTTTCAGTTAGATAAGCCATTTATCGAGGAAGGCTTTGTGCTATAATAATATACCATCCCTCTAGAACCAATAGGAGTAGAGTATCAATGAAAAACGTTGTGACAGCAAGAAAAATTATTCAAAATGATTTTCACGCATAGAAAGTCACAGGCACAGCTAATAACAAATAATAAACAGAACTAAAATGGCCTTCACAAAGCTTTAAAACTAAAATGGTAATGGGCTGGTGTAGCTAGACACAAAGACACGGGGTGGACCATAACAGAAATGTAGGAGGCCCAAAGAAAGGTGGGCTAATGATATTGAGAGGACAGTACAAAACAATTGGCTCAACTTAGCTCAAGACGGCACAAAGAGGACGAAATAGAGGAGGCTTTCACCGATTAAGGAGCCACAATTTTTACAATGTGGAACAAATATAGCTACATTTATTTACCTGCTAGCTCCTGCATAAAAGGCACCCACTGAAAATCTGTTTTTTGGCGGCTATATTTTCTTATAAATTTTTTCTAGATGGTACTGAGCGGGTGACCTTATTATTATTCTGTTTAATGGCTTCAATTTTGGCAACTAATGTGTTCAATTTTTATGTATTTTTACTTTGGTATAATTTTGTAACAAGATTTTTTTTTCTTAGATATCTAATTTTGTCTAACATTCTCAAATGCCTTAGCAAAAGTTAAAACAAGAAATAATTAGGAAATAGTTGCCCAAGGGTCTATAATTTCAAGACTAAATTGTACGATAGTGAGTCACTAGTTCTCAATAATTTTATAAGGAAATAGAGCATAATACTTACAATAACCAGCACGTAGCTGCTGTTAGCATTAACACCACCTGGATGATCCTGAAATTCAACAAAAAATAGTAAGATTTGGGTCGTAAACTAGAATTTTGGATACGAAGAATTTAGACAAAAACTTACCCTCTGTTAGGACCCTTGGGGGCGAAGAAAGGGCAAACAATGCCAACTACACCCCACAGAACAGTGAAAACTGTGATGGGAACAAAAGAATAACCCATTTTGAGATTAAATTTACGATATTTTGCAAATTTCTTATATCTCAATAAACATCACCTGCCCCAAGATGGAGGACTATTTGGCAATGTTGGCAGCACTGCTGACTGAACGTCGAAGTCATATGACAAATTGCGTTTAGTTCTTCAGCAGAACAAAAACCAACCTTGGCTGTGGCCTTCAGCTACAACAAGATTTAAAATTAATTTTAATGTGCAGTAGATATTTAGCCTATTACCTTTTTATAATTAGCATGTTTTTTTTAACTTAATTGCATTATTTTTTAATTTGAAAATATTGAAAAGAGATTGTTATTGAGCGCCACCTATCTGCTTTTGTTAAAAAGTTAAAAAGAGGTATGAAAAAGAAGAATCGAAAAAATGGAAAAACTCTGTGATTAACACTTTTAGACATTGACACAAAAATAAATAGTTCTAACTGGTGTAAATAAATGTTTTTCTATGTAAATTTAATTTAAAAATATCAGGGTAATGCGTTCTTCAACGCGACGTTTGAAAACTACTAAAAGTACTTATAGACACAAAGTTAATAAGAGACATTATAAATCTAACAGCTCTTTGGGATGTACGCAATGTGTTTCAATTTTGGACATTGAAAACATTAATGAAATTCTTCGTGTTCATGTTAGTATGTCTAAAGTAATGTTTAGCAAGCACAAAAGGGTCTAAGTCAGCTCATTATGTGGTCGTATTACGTTTAAATTTACAGAAAAGTCAAAGAGCTGAGGGCAAAGGTGCCTGGAAAGTTGTCCCTAAAGACTCTTGCGAAGTATATAAAGATCGTCGAAAGCGCCAGGCCGAGAACCGCCGTGAAGATGACGAAACCATGCGTACGACAGATAGCGACCGGACACCTTCCCGAAACAAAAAGAATCAAAAGCGTAATGATGATAAAAAGTACAGAAAAGATGCAGTTCGCAAGACGAGGAGAAGACGAAAAACAACACGCAGGTTTGCGTCTTCTACTTAAAGTAAAAGTCCATTAAAATCTAACGATTTTCTCCGAAGATTTATACTAATGACACTTTTCCTAATGCGCTTGCCACGTAAATAATATTATTTATTTTGTCTTAGCGTTTATAAAATAAGCATTATACACTGCGCGTACTCGTATATGCTTATTTTGCGCGTTTATGAAAAGGTACTTAGGTATTTATTTATCATCAACTTCACTTGTTTAATTTCAGACGGGAACCCAATTCTTCTGTTTCATCATTTACTACAACCACATCCTACATGAGCTCATCAGAAATGGATTATGACTAAAAATAAAGTTATTTTAATATTATTATTGCATTTTTTTTATAATAATGTGACCCAAATAGTCCGAAAAAAGAGAAACTCATTCCTGTTTTCCTCTTTGTAACAAGTCAGTATGACAAATTAAACGAATAATGTATTTTGACAATCTTCTTTGAGAGAAAATGACATTTTAGATAGCAAAATTTTGGTGATTTTATATTATTTTTATAAAATAAATATAGAAAGCAATGTAGAACGATTAAAATTTGCGTGATTTGTAATGTCTGGAGCAGTGAGTGTAGAAGACTATGCAGTTATTCTCATTTGGCTAGCGATTTGTTCTATTTACACAACTTTGCTTACTTTTACTGCTTTAGGAGTTGTGTGCGTGCTGTAAGTGTGTTCTTTCGCATTGTTTTAATGTTGTTGTTATTTAAATTAATTAATTAGCAGATATATTTAATCATGGTAATTTATTTGTGTGTAAAGTTATGCTTTAAAACGTTTACCTGCTAAGCATTTCCAGCTTTGAAAATTTAAGCGCATTATTTAAATAAAAGTAATAAAAATTACTTAAGTAATTTAAAAAATATGTGTAAATTATTAATGTAATAATTTAAAATATTTCTGGTAAGAACAAAACGTTTCTTTCTTGCCATCTTGTTCAAACTTGATCATCTCTATTCATCATTTTCCCAAAGCCAGAAATAGACCGGTTTAAAAAATTGAGAATATTTGAGAACTGTCAAATCAAATTTTGAACGTTTCGCCCGTTTGTTTGCGATGTTTTGTTTGAGCTTTGATTCGTTTCCAATTTAATTTTAATTACGAACTATTCTGCAATTATGCTGAAATAATCTAGTGTCTTAATCGTGTGTGTGTTATTTCGGTTAAAATGGATGACACTCAAAGTAATAGAACTTCAGAGGCGGCGGCAGCAACGTGAGTTTGTTTCCTTGTTTTGCGCTTGTTTATCTTTCTTTCTTAGTCAATTCCTTAGTAAAATGTTAAAAACATAACATACTTATACATAATCATAGAAAAACGTGCACTAAACATAATTTGCTATTGCAATAAAAGTTGTAATCTTTTTATTATGTTAATGTACTTTTGATCATTGTATTATTTACCTAGACCCTATGCTATTGTATGCATCTTGAACTTATTCTTACTTGACCTTATGTGAACTTTAGTTACACATATTTTATTAATAACAGTTTTATTTAGACAGTATTATTAAAATTTTGTCATTTACAATTTTATACTTTACACACAAATTATTAAGCATGTATTGACTCCTTCTGGTTGTCACTTAATTTTGTCTATTCTTGACCATGGTTAGGGTTGTCAGGCGTCCGGATAAAGCCGGACAGTTAGGCTTTTTGATTGCGTGTCCGGCCAAAATGAACAGTGTCCGGCAACCGATGTGATAGTAGGTACTCACTCTGAAGCTATGACACTGAATGCACCCCCCCCCCTGGTCACACGTCCGGCTTTTAGGGTTAAATGTCGGGCCAAATAAAGCACAGAGTCCGACTTTTGTGTTTTTGGACCTGGCAACCCTAACCATGGTTGCTATGACTTTGACGTCGTCAATCCGTAATCTAAATGGTCTACCTCGTTTTCTCTTCTTGTCCAGGAGTCAACAAGAAGAGTTCTGTAAGAACTTAAATATAAATATAAATATTATTTATTTTGTATTTTCCATCAAAATAATTATAATACCCAGCTTCATATCCAGCTTTTGTCCTAGGCAAGTCATATTTTTTAGGTCAGATTGTTTGACTTAGCTCTTCCAAAGTGATTTCCAAGGGCCCTTCTTGCTCTCCTGTATACGCCCATGATAAAATATTTTTTTGACAGTAGTAGCTCAGATGTAAGAGCAGTGGCCCAGCAAGAGAGTGGTCAGGTGCAAATCTAGTTACCTTAGCGAGATACTGTATCGTAGAGAATTAAAGTTTTTAATTTACTTCTTTTCTACTTCACTCTACATAGCCAACATAATATTATGTGTCGCTTAAGTTTTAACCAATAAAGCATTTATAAAAAGGAGAGAATAATATCCTAATTTTTTTTATCAACAACTATTATTACCTACAACTATTAGATATCCATCACTATAGGCCATAATGCTAGGTTTCTACCTAGTTGGAGCAGAGAGAAGTGTTTTAAATAACCAATCAGCCCCCCATAGACAAGTTGCATTTTTGATTGAATTGATAATAGAATCCGTCAAAACTCCATACAAAAAAAAAACCTTTCGACCACCTTTCGACTGGTTTGCGATCATATCATAATGTCCACTTTGTCTAGAGTTCTAGACTCACTGATGTCATTATCCACTTCCATTCTCCGCGCCACGCTTCGCCGCCGCCGCTGTCAAATTCTATAGAAAAAATCGTCCGCCTGACACCTCTCCGCTCTGCTCCGCTCCGCCTTGGTGGAAACCGGGCCTAAGGTTGACGATTCTACTTATCTTACTTACAAAAGCTAACGTAACGTAACTAACGCCCGTTCTTTTCTCCACCACAGACGCAAGCGCAGGTCGTCGATCCTCAAGAGTCAGCGGCCGCCGCGGACGCCATTCTCGGAGCTGGAGTTCAACGTGGCGACGCCCACAGACACCGCCAAAAGCCGCCGCGTCAGCTTCTCCCGGCGGACTGGAGTCGCGTGAGTGTAGTAGTAGGAGTCGTAGTCCTAAGAACGAGACAAGAAAGTCTTATCCACAGAGGACATGTTGTCCACAGAGGATACTTTGTTCGTAGAGGACACTGTCATCTGAGGACGCTGGTCACAAGAGGGCACTGTCCTTAGAGGACGCTTGTCCAAAGAGGGCACTGTCCTTAGAGGACGCTTGTCCATGACTGAGGCCACTGTCCTTAGAGGTCGCTTGTCCAAAGAGGGCACTGTCCTTAGAGGACGCTTGTCCACAGAGGGCACTGTCCTTAGAGGACGCTTGTCAACAGAGGGCACTGTCCTTAGAGGACGCTTGTCAACAGAGGGCACTGTCCTTAGAGGACGCTTGTCCACAGAGGGCACTGTCCTTAGAGGACGCTTGTCAACAGAGGGCACTGTCCTTAGAGGACGCTTGTCAACAGAGGGCACTGTCCTTAGAGGACGCTTGTCCACAGAGGGCACTGTCCTTAGAGGACGCTAGTCCACAGAGGGCACTGTCCTTAGAGGACGCTTGTCCACAGAGGGCACTGTCCTTAGAGGACGCTTGTCTACAGATGGCACTGTCCTTAGAGGACGCTTGTCAACAGAGGGCACTGTCCTTAGAGGACGCTCGTCCACCGAGGTCACTATCTTCAGAGGACGCTGGTCACAAGAGAGCACTGTCCTCAAAAGACGCTTGTCCACAGAGGGAACTGTCCTCTGAGGACGCTCGTCCACAGAGGTCACTGTCCTCAGAGGACGCTGGTCACAAGAGAGCACTGTCCTCAAAAGACGATTGTATACAGAAGGCACTCTCCTCGGAGGACGCTCGTCCACAGAGGAACCTGTCCTCAGAGGACGCTTGTGCACAGAGGGAACTGTCCAGATAGGGAACTGTCCTCAGAAGACGCTTGTCCAAAGAGGCCACTGCTCTCAGATGACGCTTGTGCACAGAGGACGCTTGTCCACAGAGGACGCTTGTCCACAGAGGACGCTTGTCCACAGACGCCACTGTCCTCAGAGGACGTTTGTGCACAGAGGGCACTGTGCTCAGAAGATACTTGTCCACAGAAAAAAAGAGGCTTTTTCGTTTCATGTGTAGATATTGTAAACATATTCTTTTTTGCTTTCAGAGAATTCGTAACAAACGAAGCGACGACGACGTGGAAGAATTTGTACGAGGAGCACAACAAATCGCTCGAATCGTCGGGCAACGAATCTGGAGCCAACGTGCCGCGGTCCATCGGCCACATCGGCACTAGGATATTCGATAAACAATTCCAAGAAGAGGAGGCGGTTGACTTCGGTGCCACCATTGACACGCACTCCGCACACATAAGCGACTCCATCAATAATGTCAACTTCTCACAGCACGCCTCATTCTCGACAGACGATAGAAAACTGCCAGCCCCTAATCAGAACTTCGAAATGAGCGAATTCACCGACCACCAAAGCAAACTTTTCGGCGATGACCTAGCCATGCCCACGATGGGAGAGATGTCTGGACGTATCGACGTCAATTTCTCAGCTGTTCAGACGATTGGAAACGCTAAAGACGATTTGGATGAGATTCAGAACGATTTGAAGAGAGCGCGGAGTATCGGCGTATGTCCGTTAATGGGCAGAAGAAGCCTTTCTGAATACATAGAAATGGATTTGGACGCGACTCACGTGACGATCAAGCAAGACGATGATGATATGTCTATCACGGATACAATACACAGTCCAAAAGTCCAACATGTGTCTCAAAACGTCAGTTCGGCGCTTGATAAGAAAGCCAGTATCAGTAACGATTGGGTGGCCGACAAAGAGAATATTGCCCTTAACCCTTACATAACTCCAAAGGAATCTATCAATTTTGCTGTAAATGAGAATTCAGATAAAATTCTAGTGTTCGATGGTAAAAGGTTGACTATACAGTCTGATAAAGAGGCAGACAAAATTCTTAAAGAATGCACGAGTGAAACAGTTCCTAAAGAAACTAAAACGCACCAGAGAAAGACGATTGTGTTGAATGTGAATGATGATTTGCCGAATTTTAAGTCTACTCAAGGAATGATGCGGAATGAATCAAGTCTGGCGCATGAGAGGAGTAGAACTCTAGTATATGATGACCTAGGAGATATATCTGTCACCCAAGCTGTACCAGCGAACATCATGTTGAATGATGACAAAGTGGAACATGACAGACGAAGGACTATGGTCTACAATGACAATGAAGGCAATATTTCTATAACCCAAGCTGTACCAGCAAAAATAGTGTTTAACGAACAAAAAGCAGAGGGTCAAAGACGTCGGACTATGCTTTACGACGATATCGAAGGCAATATTTCTATAACCCAAGCTGTCCCAGCGAAAATTGTATTTAA